ACCCCATTAGAATAAATCCAACAAAAATTGTGCAGGACCTTTGTGAAGAAAATTTTATGTTACTAAAAGAACATAAAGAATTGACTAAATTGAAAGACATCTTATTAGCTAGGAAGGCTCAATACTCCCTAAATTAATCTATACATTTAATATAGGGGAACTAGACAAGCTAGTTCTAAATTTTATCTGTTAAATAAATAAGCCAATAAAATATGGAAAAAAAACTGATTGGGGGACTGGTGCTATGATATTACAATGTATGATAAGCTACAGTCATTAAAATCATTTGGTTAGGCACACACACAGAAAAATAAATTCTAATAGAGCAGAAGCAAACATATACAGGACTTTAGTCTCTGGTAGGTAACGCTGGCATTTCAAAGCATTGAGGAAAAGATGATTATTCCATAAATGGTGTTAGGGCCACAGGCTAGCAGCCCTGCCCCTAGAAATGCATCACAGATAACCTTAAGCCTTTACTCCGCTCTGGTCTTTTCTGTGTCACCCTCTCAGTGACACCCTTCCCTGAGCACCCTCTTTAACAGTACAGCACCCAACCCAGCCCCAATCCCAGAAGCTCCTTTCTTGCTTTTACTGTTGATTTTCTCCATAATACACATCGCCAACAATGTGCATCCAGCGTGTCGGCACCCAGTAAATCCGTCTTAAACGACGATATTCTGTGGCCCAGAATACCCGGCAGCCAATTCCCGTCTGCTTTTACCATGAGTCAGCCCCCCAGTGCAGACATGCTCAGGGCAGGGGGCACTCCCCCCCAGAACACATCAGGAGTGCTCTGAGCCCTTTGCCAGTTGCTGGTTGGGCAGGGGCACACGGCCCCTCCTTGCCAATGGACCCTGAAGTGGAGACACGTCTGGGTAAGGTTTCCCTCACTACCACTAAAAACCCCAAACAGATGTACAGGGGAGAAGGCCGCTATTTTTTCAGGGTTCTGTCATGCCTACACTCAGCCATGCTGTGATTCTGGGAGCCAAGTGGACACTGAAGGTGAAGCAGGACGCACGCTCTGAGCAGCAACAGAACAGGTGTACCACTGAGCAAATCTACCTTGGCCTCACTTTTCTAACATAAACTCTTCATTTTTAAAGGTGACTTCGGAGGCTCCTTCTGCTTCTCAGGGCAGAACGCAGCCTGGTGCATCCTGGCACGTGTGTGCAGACCTGCCTGAGAACATCCAGCTCACTCTTATTTACAAAGCAAGCTGCTGGCATCTCAAAGCACCCAGATGGGCCCTGCAGCACGGCTGCCCCGCACCCGCTGCTGC